AGCGGCCGGCACACGCCGCGCCTCCACCCCGACCCCGCCGACTAGATGGGAGTTTAGAGACAGGGATTCCTGGTGGGAGGAATGAATGGGAGCGGAGCGGGCAGGTGCGGCTGGGCTCCTGTCCCTACCTGGTCCGGAGTCCGGTAGGGGTCGACCCTGGGATTTCAGGAAGGTGTACGGCGCATGGTGTTCTCCCCGAGAGGCCAGAGGGATGGGAAAGGGGGATGGGATGGTCCCTCTGGGTGTAGGACTACATGAGAAGTAAGGTGGGGAGTGGGGGGTGGGGGTGGCAACTCGGTTGAAGGAGGGTCTGGATAGGACCGAGGGGGGCTTAGAAGCTGTCAGCTGCACAGGGGGAGGGGGGGCCAGGGACCCTTCCCACACCCCAAAGGTCCCGTGGTTCCCCTGCAGCTCCCCAGGTGGGCCCTGCCTTGGCCCAGGTCATGCGCTGCCCCAAGTGCCTTCTCTGCCTGTCAGCGCTGCTCACGCTCCTGGGCCTCAAGGTGTACATCGAGTGGATCTCCGAGCCAAGGCTCCGCAAGGCCTACCCTAGCCCCCGCAGCACCCCGCTGCAGGCCACGCCCGAGAGCTGGGAGCCCACGCTGCCCGCCAACCTCTCAGCCCGTCTGGGCCAGACCAGACCACTGCCCTCGGCTTACTGGAATCAGCAGCAGTGGCGGCTGGGGACCCTGCCTGGTGGCGGGGACAGCACGGAGGCGGGGGGCTGCCGGGCGTGGGGGGCCGCGGCCGCCACTGAGATCCCAGACTTCGCCTCCTACCCGGAGGCCCTTCGAAGCTTCCTGCTCACCGCTGCCTGCCGCCACTTCCCGCAGTGGCTTCCTGCAGGGGGCGGTGGCCAGGTGGCCAGCTGCTCAGACACCGGAGTCCCCTACCTGCTGCTGGCTGTGAAGTCGGACCCCGGGCACTTCGCAGAACGGCAGGCTGTGAGGGAGACGTGGGGCCGTCCAGCCCCTGGGGTTCGGCTGCTCTTCCTGCTGGGTTCCCCGGTGGGGCGGGGGGGCCCCCACCTGGACTCCCTGGTGGGCTGGGAGAGCCGCCGCTACAGTGACCTGCTCCTCTGGGACTTTTTCGATGTCCCCTTCAACCAGACACTCAAGGACCTGCTGCTGCTGGCCTGGCTGGGTCATCACTGCCCCGACGTGACCTTTGTCCTGCACGCTCAGGACAATGCCTTTGTGCACACCCCTGCTCTACTGGGACACCTGCGGGGACTGCCCTCAACCTGGGCCCAAGTCCTCTACCTAGGGGAGGTCTTCACCCAGGCCAAGCCTCTCCGGAAGCCTGGCGGACCCTTCTTCGTGCCTGGGTCCTTCTTCGAAGGCGACTACCCGGCTTATGCCAGCGGGGGTGGCTATGTCATCGCCGGGCGCCTGGCCCCCTGGCTGCTGCAGGCGGCGGCCCGTGTGGCCCCCTTCCCCTTTGATGACGTCTATACTGGCCTGTGCTTCCGGGCCCTGGGCCTGGTGCCTCGTGCCCACCCGGGCTTCCACACCGCCTGGCCAGCAGGCCACAGCCCTGAGCCCTGCGTGCTGCGTGACCTGCTGCTGGTGCGGCCGCTCAGCCCCCAGGACAGCATCCGCCTCTGGAAACGTCTGCAAGATCCACAGCTCCAGTGCTGAGCCTGGGCCCTGGTAGCAGGGTGGCCACTGCGCTGGGGACTAGGGGACAGTGGGAGTGGAGAGTTGAGAGGGGCAGACTGGTTTTGTCTACTTTTTGTTTTTTAAAGACGTTCACTCCCCACGCCAAGGCCTGGCATTGTCTGTGGGGCCCAATGGTTGGCAGCACAAAGCATGAGTGGGTGGGGCCAGTGCCAACGGTTCCTTGCTGGACACAGGCCGGCTCCTCCCCCTGGAGGAAGTGCCCCCCCCACTCCACCCCTCCAGAAGCCCCTCCAGCAGTGGCCATTTCCAGGGGAAGTGCCTGTCTGGTCTAGTTATCTACGGTGGAGAGCCACGGGTGCTGCCTCCCCCACTCCAGGAAGCAGAGACCGAGTGCGAATCGAGCCAAAAGCAGAGAAGCTGTTTATTCACAACCTCTGCTGCACAGTCCTCTCTTTGAGCGCGTTCTATGGGTCCACATACCAGGCCACGCCCACCCCGTCCAGAGGCCTCTTCTAGTCCTGTAGGTGCCTGGCCAGCCTGCCCGCCAGAGAGGGTGCTGTAACCACCGTCACGTCCTGAGGTCACAGCCTAGAGGGGCTCCCAGGTGGGGAGTGGGGCCCCAACCCCTCTGGCACAGCCCTGGCCTCCCCAGTGTTCCAGTTAGTGCTGGCTGGAAGGAAGGCAGTGGTATCAACCAGCTCTTCTTTCCGTGCAGGGCGGGGGTGGGGGGTGGGGTCGCAGGCTCACTTCTGGAAGTGGTCCAGGGGGTAGTGCTCCCCATAGGTCTGCAGGTGGCGAGCCAAGGACTCCTGCTGTTTGCGGAGCTGGGAGGGCATCTCCTGGTATACGTCGGAGAAGAGCAGGTTGGGGCTGGGCTTCAGCTTCCGCTCCGCCTGCTCAAAGGCCTCCATCACCTGGGGGACACCACACGGTGGGCAGCTAGCAGCCGCCCACCCAGAGGGCCGACCCGTGGGACGGACCTCCGCCAGGTGACAGCAGAGGGTGGCGGAGCCGCCATCTACTAAGCACTGGGTGACCAGGCACACAGCTGCCCTGAGAGGCAGAGACAGTGAGGCGCAAAGCCAGGACATACCCCTGCTGCCTGGCTCCCAGACCAGGCTCTGCCACCACTCAGCCAGAGCCAAGACAGACATGCGCAACGGTCACCTGACCCTCCAACAAGCTGCTAGCGCAGGGCCCACAGGGTGGATGGCAGTGCACGGCTCCCCTGAATCTGCAGCTCAGTGTCCCCAGCATCCCAGCCCTCCGGGTGCCCCCCCACCTGCACCCAACAACAGCCCCACCTTCTTGCGGGACTGCTTCCTCCAGGCCTTCTCCTGCTCCTCGTCCCACCAGCCTCGGCTCAGCAGGTAGTGCCGCAGCCGCGAGATGGGGTGGTCCTGCTTGTCCCAGTAGTTGACCTCGTCTACCGAGCGGTAGGCCGAGCTGTCGTCGCTGGTGCTGTGGTGCCCGATCCTGATGGAGGGAGGGCGCAGGGTCAGCTGGGAGGGAGGGGCAGGAGACCGGATCCTAGGCGAGGGGGCAGGGCTGGCTGGGAGGGCGAGGGAAGGCACCTGTAGGTCATGGCCTCGATGAGGAAGGGCTGGTTCTCGGCCACCGCCCGCCGCCGGGCCTCCTTGGTGGCATTGTACACAGCGAACACGTCGTTGCCATCCACACGGATGGACATGATGCCGTAGCCGGGGCCGCGGGCCGCTGGGGGACAGAACTGGATTCAGGCCCCGGGGTTCCAACAGGGCTTGTACGCAGGTCCGGCAGGAGGGAGGCTGGGCTGAGAGGCTGACTGATCCCAGGAATGGGGGCGGAGGTGAATGGAGGGGGAGGGGCCCCCAGGGCCCATACCGATGCCGTCCCCCCGGTACTGCTCCGAGGTTGGTGTGGAAATGGCATAGCCGTTGTTCCGGCAGAAGAAGATGATGGGGCACTCGAGGGTGGCAGCAAAGTTGAAGCCGGCGTGGGCATCCCCCTCACTGGCGGCCCCCTCGCCGAAGTAGCAGATGACAATCCTGTTGTCGTTGGCCCGCTTGGCTGCGTAGGCTGCCCCTACAGCTGCAGGGAGATGAGCGAGAAGCCGTGAGCACAGCAGGCGCCCAGGCACTTGTACACACAGACGTGTGCACACGCATATGCACACTCACCCTCTCACATGTACACATATAGACACAAAATGCATTCTTCACATCTACATATACTCAGTATGCATACACACTCATGGACACACGTACGCAGGCACTCAGAATCTACACGCACTGACAAACCACGTACACACGTGTACAGTCACAATATGTTAGCTTGCACTCACATGTTCAGACTGCTCTCAGATACATGTGTACAGACATAACATGCACTCACATACATACCCCTACACACATGTGCTCACAATACACACGCACAGACAGACACTCACAGCACACACATGCTGACCCAGGGCTGCTGGCCACACTGAGGACGGAAATGGCACTCCTGACCCCCCAGAGCCACGCAGCCCCAGCCTTCAGCCCATCAGCTGACCGTGATCTGGGTCTTCTAACTCCTGACCTCCTCCCGTCACCCCCCACATCCACTCGGCCAGCTCTGGAGGCTTCCCTTCAAAGGGCACCTTCTCCAGGGCACCCTGGTCGAGCCGCCAAGCCCTTCTGCCTGCAATCCTCAGCTCCCCGACTCTCCCCATCCGGCAGCGGGAGGAAGGGCCCTAACACGGGGGCCAGGCCGTTCCACAGCACCCCACGCCCCAGCCTGCTCTGCTGGCACACTAGGCCTGCCCCTGCCTGAGACACCCACCAGCCCCCCACTCACTGCCTGTGGTCTGTACTTCGCTGCCCTCTACTCCAACCACTCCCTGGCCCCTCCACACGACTCTCATTGGCGGACCTGCTGTTCCCTAGCACTGCCCCTGGGCTGCAGGTCTGTCTTGCTGATGGTCTCTCAGCCCCCGCGCCTTCGACCCCAGCAACGGCAGAGGTGTCGGTGCCTTGCTCACTGTGCCCAGCACATCTGCCCGGTGGGGGGGCAGATGCTCCAGGGCTAGCTGGGGAGACACCCTACCTGTGCAGCTGGTACGCACCTCTTCCAAGAGGGCATCCGGCCCAACAGAGGCGAGCGGCCCGTCTGGGTGACCGGAACTCTGCCATGCCCAGAGGAAACCTACGAGGTGCCTCAGCTGCCCTGTGGCAGAGACAGCCAGCCTGCCCCCTTGGCCATGCCTTGGGCCCTGAGGGTGGGGTGCAGACCTGCTCTGGTGAGTAACCTCTCCTTTCTCAGAAGAAACTGCACCGACTGCTCTGGGCACTGCAGCTTCAGGGACCCACACGGCTGCTCTAGGGACATCTGCTTGACTGTGAGGCCAGAGTGGACAACGTGGGCTCTGAGATCTCAGGCCCCTGTCTTTCCACCCCTGGCCAGTGACCTTCCCTCTGACTTCCGTTTCCTGCTCTTTAAAATGGAACAATGGTAAAAACCGGCACCCACATCGATGGCCCTGTGAGGATCCCCTCAGACAGCAGGAGCGTGTCCGGGCGGGGGTGGTTGGTGGAGGTGGGGCCACTCAGCACTGGCTTTGCGTGCTAGCAGCACACGGGGTGGGTGGAGAGGGCAACCGTGTGTTCACACAGGCCCACCCGCAGGCCCAGGGAGTCCTCTGAAGGGGTCCCACAGGCGTGCTCACCCTGAGGGATCTGCGTGGCCAGCGGAGAGGAGATGGTGACAAAGTGGCGCTCCCTGCAGCCGTAGTGGACGGGCATCTGGCGGCCCTTGCCCGGGTCATTCATGTTGCCGTAGCACTGGTCCATGAACAACTCCAGCGGGTAGCCCCGATACATCAGCACACCTGTGGGGAGAGGTTGCTGGGATCCCCTGGCCCCCCATGACCTGGGTGAGACCCTGCTTGGCTGGGGCTCCAGGACCACCGTGGACCACCAGGGCCCTTTCCTGCCCTGAGCGGCATCTCTCGAGGAGCACATTACAGGGTGCGCACACCTCCCCGGACAGATGGACGGAAGAGCCTGGATGAGGCTCAGACCCCGACTGCCCAGCGCTATTGCAGGCGTTCTCCTGGCCAGGCTGTGAAGCCTCCAGTCCACCCAAGAAGGGGGTCCCGCTGAGACGGGAAGACAGGCGGTGTCACCACAAAGTGGCGGGGCTGGGGGCTGGCCTGGCAGATGCCACACAATTGGATACTGAGCCTGAGAAAAGGAAGTGGGGGGACATGTGTCTCTGCTCGAGGGGCACCACCACAAGACACAGAGAACGACGCAGGTTAGGGCGTCCTCAGAGATGAGCCGGGGTTCATGGACTGTGTGCTGACTTCCACGGTCACCTCCCTTCCAATCCCTATTTCCCACCACACTTTTGAGTGGGTGTCAAAAATCCTACGGCATGTAGCCATGTTCCGTGTAACACAGATAAGGGGGCAGAAATAACCCAGAGGACTGCCACAGCAAGGTCCAGGCCCACAAGTCTGGGATGACAGAGCAGGGCGAGGGAGGGGGGCAGGGAAGGGGGAGCTGCACGTAGCTCAGCCACTGCTCAGCTGGACGCCTGCAGGCACAGACTCTTTGCTGCAGGTACTGCCCACAGGGCCAGGGCCCCAGGGCACACTCCGTGGGCCCCCGGTTTTATCTCCCACAGCCCAGAGCAGCAGCCCTGTGTGTGAACCGAGCAGGGCTGGCCAGGGGCAGACTGCCCAGAGGACTCTGGCTCCACCCAGGAGGAGGCAGGTGGCCTGGACCTGTGAGCTTACTTCTGACCCCAGTTCTTACCCGTGAGGGGGCAACAGGACTGCCCCCTCCCCACCTCCCGGTCGGGCGGGTGCAGATAAAGGGGCTCGCCAGGCCTCCGTGGAGACCTGGGCACAGAGCCGTTCAGGAACCTACAATGTGCCACCGCCCCTCTCCTCAGAGGGCAGTGACCTCCCCAGGTACACACACACACACACACACACACACACACACACACACACACACCCTGTCTTCTCAGCTCCTCAGCCTGGGGCCCCCTGCTCACCCCACCCCCATACCCGTCAAGGGGCTCACGACTGTTACGCTCTGACAACACCCCGTGAGGACAGCCCAGTGGCCTCTGCGATTCTCTCCTGCTCCCTCAGAGAGCCATCAGCAGAGCGCTGTGCAGCCCCTCCTCTGTAGGCGTCCTTGGCTGGCGGAGCGCCTGCGCAGCGGGGCAGGGGTGATATACCTGCCTCCCGGTACTGGCCAAACACCAGGTCCGTGTTGTCCAGGGCGGCTGCACTCCCCACGTGCGTCCCCTCCTCGCCGTAGTTGGTCATGTAGAAGGAGATCCGGCCCTGGGTTGGAGAGGGCCCAGAGGTCCGAGCTCAGGGATGGCGGGAAGCAGCGGCCAAGCAGGGAAGCCCTTCCTTGACCTGAGAGGGACTTGTGGAAGGGCAGCTCTGGCCAGGTCACCCCGGAGCCCCTGCCTTTATGACAGAGGGCTGCCATAAAGCAGAGGTCAGAGCAGCGAGGGGGCACTAGTTGCTGAAGAAGTGGCAGCCCTGGCATGGGGAGGAGCACACAGGGGTGCTTCCGAAGCTGAAAAAAGTGTGTGCAGGTGTAGGCTTCCAGAAAGACGGAAGGCCCAGGCCTGGGATGCACAGTGGTCCAGGTGTGGTGGCCAGATCACACAGGGAACAAGGCTATCTCTGGCAACAACTGGGGACCTGGCAGCTGTGCTGCTCAGGGAGGCTGGTGGTCAGGGGCGTGTTTCAGTAATCTCTCAGGACACAGCGACATAGGGGAGAGGCCCTGCAGCTGGCTTGGGGGTGACCACACCTGTTTGTGGGAATGGGGGGCAGAAAGGGAGCCTAACAATAAGGCCAGGCGTGATCGTGTGGGTAGTGGGGATGAGGGGCACAGACTTGGCTGGCTAGCTACCCCAGCGTCCGAGCCAGTGCCCGGCTCCTCCCAAGCCCCTTTGCCGCAGAACCCAGAAAAGAGAGATGCAGCCTCCTGGCCTCCTCCGCAGCACAGGGGCCCGGGACGGTTCCCGTCAGGGGCGTCAGTGGCCGTGTGCTGGAGGCACCTGAAAAAGCGTCTGCTCTCTGGTTAAAAGGGACTGAAATAGCTGGTCGCATTCCCTTGCTCACCCCAACCTGCACATGGCCGTGACGGCTGGAAGTGGCAGGCACTTTATGCACACGAGGCCAGAGGCCAGCAGGAAGCTCCTGGCAATGACGTGAGGCAGTCAGACAGGAGGCGTCGGGGTCCCTGGGGCAGGATCTCTAACCCAACACTCGGACAGTGGGCAGGGAGACCAGGAAGATGCCGCAGGTCTGGGAGGGAGGGGCTGTGCTGGTGGCAGGGTTCCAGGGCAAGAGGCCAGTAGACCTGGGGCCGAGCCAGCCACCCAGGGAGGGCGCCGCACAGACAGCTGGGAATGAGATTACCCAGAGATCTGTGCGAGTACCCCCTCAGAGAGACGCCGCATCCAGGCCTCCCCACTGTCCTTCCTCCAGGGTGCTCTCCGGCTGCTGCGGGGGCAGAGATGAATACCTGCTTTCTTCTAAGTGGGAAGCCAATTAAAACCTTAATTGACCTCCCAGTGCCAAGTGGGTGGGCAGCTGCTGGGTCCTGAGGCCTGGCAGGGCTCCGGAGTTTGCAGCGGGAGGACCCTGGGGAAACAAGGCTTGGGCAGGCAGCAGAGGCTGTGATGCCCACCCAATCTCCTCCCTGCCCTCCTCCCCATTATTCCACCACAGGCACCAACGTTCCCCATCAAAGACTACATTTCCCAGGAGCGACTGGTGTAAGCAGATGTTACTGGGTGGGATGACCTGGCACATCCGTCCACTGATGGCAAAGGAGGGCAAAGGCTGCTGGGATATGCCCTGACACACCTACCTCCCTGCTGCCTTCACCCTCCTGCCTGCAGCAGGCAGGCGCCATCTCGGGCGCGAGGAGCACGGTAAGCTAGAAGCCAGAGCTATGAATACAGACTGGGAAGATGACAGGGCAGGGTGGGCAACGTACCGCCTGTTTCCTTGTTTCCAAATTTCTCTTAGGTGAGAGAGAACAGTAATTTAAACAAACGGACAAACACCGAATCTGCTTCAGCCGCTATGTCTTTGTTTCTGGCAGGTTGCTATCAGTGGTGGAGGAGAGTAGTTACTAGCAGCTCCTTCCTGGCTCAGGCTGGACCTCCAGGGACCGAGGGGTCACAGTGGAGCTTTCTCTGGGCCAGTCGAGGGATGAGGGTCTGTAGGGGCTGGGCCACACAGACTTCCCACCCCCGGGCACCTGAGACAAAAAGAGGCAGAGTGCAATGGCCTCTCCTGGGGCTCCGCACTCGCAGAGCTGCCAGCTGTGCAGCCTGGCCAGGGGCACGCAGCCAGGTGTGTGCGTGCATGCATGCACGTGGACGGGCAGCCTGGCCGGGCCAGTGGAGGGAGCAGAGAACTGGGCCACAGTGGATGGGGATTGGGCTGACAGGAGGGGCCCCAGCTGTGAGACCAGACTTGATCCAGGGGCGGGAGACACTGCCCTGACTCCAGGTGCCATAGGTAGCATTCTGTGGCCAGACCGGATCTGCTCAGTGCTGGTCCCTTGCAGGATGGGCCTCGGGCATTAATCTGCAGCCAGTCACAGGGCTTAATGAAAGCACACTTGCTGTCCTGACCCCAGTTTACAGCCAGCAGATGTGGCGGCCACCAGGTCCTGCCTGCCCTTCTCTGACAGGACCCACCCAGACCCTCACCACTCAATCCCCGAAATGAGCTCCGGGAGGGTTCTGTGGCCAAAGAGCCTGCCTGGGCCTTTTGCTGAGCCACCTCAGGGGCCAGGTAGAACAAAGAATCACTTGTAAGTCCAGCCCACCTGGTCCTGAGACTACGACAGGTGGCGAGCCAGCCGAAGAACTAGGCTCCAGGGCCAGAATGCCTATTTGACAGGTGAGGGTGCGGAAGCACTCGCAGGTTAGCACCGGAAGAGGCAGAGCTTCTTTTGAAGCAGTCGACCCACCCGGGGCAAACACCTGCTGGAGAAAAAGCCCAGGCACAGGGAAGCAGAGAGAAATAAGCGATAGCTATAGCCAGAGAGAGAGAGAGACGTCAAGTCTGAAGACATCTTTCAAGTCCCCTGGACATTTGAGAGGTCTTTCTGTCAGTGACCTCAGTCAGCGAACTGCCTTAGTTGGCCTGGGTTTGGCTGGCCCTTTGTCCCCAGACACTGAGACTGTGAAGGAATCCCAGCATGGCCAGTGTGGCCCATGCTGATCCCAGGTCAGACTTGAGTCCCTGGGAGAGGGCCGCTGTGCCTCCTGCAGCCGGGTCTGCCACTCCCTGTGCAGTTAAACCCCAGCCAGACCACCGTGAGGGTGCCCAGGGACGTGGTCCAACCCCACATGGGGAGGTCTCCTTGTGCCCGCTCCTCCGTGGGAGCTGCCCTTTGGCCCCAGCACAGGTGGGGGGCACCCACCTGCCGCTGGGACTCGTACAGGATGCGGTCCATGGTGTTGAGCAGCGTCATGCTCTTGTAGAACTTCAGCACCTCCTGCTGGGGCAGCTGTGGAGGGACACACGGACAGGTGGGGGCAGGTGGCTGGGACCAGAGAGACGATGGACGGGGCTAAATGGGGGCAGGCACCTCTCACCTGAGGGTCCTCACTCGGGTTGATGATCTGGCCCTGCCGGTCCATGACCCGGTAGATGGGGATCCCCGAGATGACATTGGGCTGGATGAATTCCAGCTTGTCTGCAAACTCCGCCGAGGCCCCTGGGAAGCGGGGCTTGTCGTCCAGGGACGAGAACTCCTGCTGCTGCCTCCTGTGGTGCTAGGGAGGAGGCGGCACCAGGCTCACCACTGCGCTGGCACAGTGGTACATCGCTGTGGCCCGAGGGGGCTCTGGGACAGCTCCCCCACTTTATGACAGTGTGCCCTTGGGCAGGGTACTCTACTTCTTTATGTCCTCAGTAAAACTGGCACAAACAGTTCCTAACCCCCAGGCTTGCTGTGAAGACTCCCAGACTCACTCTGGTGGCCACAGTAATGCTCAGAACTGGGAGCTCTGCCATTACCATGGCGCTGATCACTTCACCTGGCACTCAAAGGTCTCCCTATATGCTCCCAGACTGCCCCCCCCACCTGATCTCCCATTATGAGGGGCAACACACACACACACACACACACACACACACACACACACACACAGCCCATCCAGGTAAAATTTGTACTGACCCCTCTGCCCATCATCACCGAGCCCGAGCGTTAAGACCACGGGGCCTGAAGGGCCCGGCTGCCTGTGTTCAATACCAGGCTGGTGACCCTGAGGACGTGGCCTCCCCTTGCGGTCCTCCCTTCTCAGCTCCAGAACGGCGAATGCCCCCACAGATGCGCTGTGACGCACAAGCACAGAATGCTCAGCACAGTATCCGTGGGGGACAGAGTAAAGGCTCAAAAACGTGGCAACGACCGTGCCTCCTGCCGACCACGGCTCTGCCAGGTCTTAACTAGATCGTCCTTCCCCTCCAACACCCCGCAAACCGCTCCGGGCGCACCTGCCTGCTGCCCTCCCGGAGCCCGGACTGATTCATCTGCAAATATTTGAGCACCTGCTCTGCTCTGAGCGCTGGGCTGGGGGTTGGGGATATGAGGATATGAGATGGGCAGGACCTCGGCCCTGCTGCCCAGCAGGGAGGACGGATGGACAGACACTGAATCAGTCTTACAAGATGGGGCGGGGGGATGCACAGAGTCCCGGAGAGAGCTACGGGTTACACATGGCAGAGTGTGTAGGGCTTGGGGGCTCTTCTCTGAGGAAGTGTCCCTGGGGCGAGGCTTAAGGGATAAGAGTGTCCTAGGCAGGGGAGCAGGACAGGCAAAGCCCGAGAGTGTGGGACAGCATGCCCTTGTAGAAACTGGAGGTACCACCCCTCGCCCCCACCCAGAATCCTTGTCTCTGGGGAGCGGAGACCCGAGGTACAAGTGCACACACACTGCCCAGTCCTGCGCAGCCGCACACCTGTGCCGTCCTGTGCTGAGCCCAACGCTGCAGCCAGGGTGTCAGCCCCCTCGTTGGTCTCCTCCTCTCTTTGGATGAACTTCTACCTTCCCAAGCCTGGCGTCCGCCCTTTCCCGGGAGCTGGTCTCGCCTCTGTTAATGTTAATCCTGTCAGGGAAGCAGTTAGAAACTGCATACATCGGAGGACCACCGCGAAGCCTTCCTGCGATGCACACCAGCGCTGCCAGCTACACAGTCGCTACAGAAGCAGAAGCCTTTTCTGTTTCCTTGTCTGCTTTTCCTTTGATCGCTTCATTGTCAAGCAAGTTCTTTGCGCAGGTTCACAAATGCTAATTACCCTAAGATCATAGCTGAAAAACTCGAAAGCTCGACAGAATGAATCAGCAACTTCAGGAATACCAGCAGGGACAACAGCAGCAGCGCTTGCTTCAGTGGGTGACGCCAAGTGTAACTGGGCACTAACGACGACAGCCCTGACCTGAGCACACTAGAAGGCTCAAAGAGTAAAGCTGCATGTAGAGTTTTAGTCCCGTAGGTAGGCAGACCTGGTGGCGAGTGGTTACCTGTTGGGCTGCGAACCACAAGGTCACCAGTTCACAACCACCAGCTGCTCCGGGTACTCCTGCAAAGTTATAGACTCAGAAACTCACAGGGGCAGTTCCAACCTGTCCTACAGGGTTACTATGAATCAGAACTGACTTGATGGCAGTGAGGGTTTTTTGTTTCATTTTAGGTAGGCAGATACAATGTACGTAAGCTAGGCTTACAAATGTGTATTCGCTATTGTAACTACAAAACCCTCCAAAAATGTTCATTGCCATTGTGGATTCTGACACACAGCCTCCCTATCTGGGTATTACCACTAGAACCGCCCCTGTGGATTTCCAAGACTAAATTTATAGCGGAGTAGACAGTCTCATCACTGCCCACAGAGCAGCTGGTGGGTTCGAACTGAGGACCTTGAAGTGAGCAGCCCAATGCATAACCTAACCACCACCAGGGCTCCTTCATAAAACTACAGGGGAGCTTTTATGAAAAACCACAAATCTCTGTGAAACAATGGCTGCATGGGGGTCCCTGGGGCGCCCTAGTGACCCGCTGGAAACTGGAAGCACCTCCGTGGCTGCGGTGGTCCTTGTTCTCGAGAAGCCCTGGGGCTCCTCGGCTGTGGGCCCCGCTGAGTTCCACATGCACAGGCCTGCGGGACCCTCAAGAGCATCTTGTGCAACCGGGGCTGCTCAGGGCTGCCCTGGAGCAGATGGGGACTCAGGGAGCAGAGTGTGTAAGCTGCAGCAGGAGCTCCGGCCACAACACATGTCAGGCCTGGGCTTTGCCGAGCCAGTCCGATTCCCACAGATCTGTGGGCCCCGGACTCCTCTGACATCACTAACTGTGGCTTTGCGTGCGGGGCTCAGCTTTCCCCTCCCAGCAGTGCACATGTCACCCCAGCGTCCAGTGGGTTGCTGGGAGCACGGGCCCATCTATGGTTGTGAGAAAACATGGGACACGTACCCCCAGAGTGAGCAGTCAGGCCTGGGCCCATCGCCTCCTGGCCACCTCAGAGGGGCAGCACTGGGCGGCACCACGTTCCCCCCTGAGCTCCGAGCACCTGCTAGAAGCTTCTTTCCTCTCCCACCCACAGGAAGGTAGGGGTCACGTCCAGGGGCGTTCCTGCAACAACTCCCAGAAGGTCATTACTGAACGAGTGCCTGCCGCAGGGCAGCAGCCTCCGCTGGAACGCTCCTGCGGCCTGTGGTGCAGGCGAAGAAAGGGGCTGAGGAGGGCTGCCAGGTGGCAGAGGGAAAGGGCTGGCAGGAGACGGGGCTTGAGGAGGACAGACTCGTCTCCCAGCTGACAGGACAGAGGGCTCTGACGGGAGGTCAGTGGCCAGGAGGATGGGGTCTAAAGGCTATGCCAGACCACCTCAGTGACCCCTCCCTGGGTGTGTAGTGGGTTAGGAGTTAGACCGCTAACTACAGGTCAGCAGTTCAAACCCCCCAGCCTCCTCGAGGGAGAAAGATGGAGGCTTTCTGCCCCCAGTGAGTCAGATTCTCAGAAACCCACAAGGGCAGGCCTGCCCTGCAGGGTCGCTGTGAGTCTGCTTTTCCAGGACACAAAACACCACATCACTGGGAGCATCCTCAGGACGCCGGAGTTGGCCCGGCCTCAGCCAGTAGCCGCCCCGGGCTCACAGTTGGCTCAGAGGGGCACCTGGAGGGGAAGGGCTCACTGAGCACAGTGCCTGGGGCCAAGGGATCCACCCCTACAGGAGTACACTGCCTCCTAGGAGGGATGTGATGCCAGCCCTGCTTCTTGGCTTGGGTGGGGGTGGGTGGACACACAGGTTGGCCCAGCACACACTGGAGTGGCCCTCACACACTCACGCACTGCAGTGCCACACTTACACTTATGGGGAACTCTCAGACCAGACAGCTACTTCCTGGCTGTGTGGCCTTTGGCAAGTTACCAACACCCCCAGCCCGCCCCCTCTGCCCTTAGTTTCCTCCTGTGTGATAGGAGCACTTTCTCGAGACTGTGCAGCGACTTGCTTAATGTGGCTCTTGTAGCCCTCGTCTTCGCATGCTCACCAAGACTGTCTGCTGAAGGCTGAGAATTAGGGAGGTGGGGGAAGGTGCTGGCAGGATGGTCTGATTCAGTCGGGGCGGACTGTGATGGTTGAGACTGGGAAAGCTCTCTGGTGGGACTGGCTCATTCTGCCAGCCTGCTGGGCATAAAGTGAGCCATCCTAGAGGCCAGAGAAGCTACTAGCCTTCTTTCTTCTAATACCAAGAAGGAAGAGCCAGAAATAAAGCGTGTCTTATGACAAAATAATAATTTGTAAAGTATCAAGGGTTCATGGGGGAGGGGGGGAGCGAGGAGTGAGGGGGAAAATGAGGAGCTGATGCCAGGGACTTGGGTGGAGAGCAAATGTTTTGAGAATGATGAGGGCAATGAATGTACTAATGTGCTTTGCACAATTGATGTATGTATGCATTGTGATGAGTTGTATGCGCCCCTAATAAAACGATTAAAATAGAGAAATAAATAAAGCGTGTCTTTTGGACCCCGCAGTCCCTGCATGCTGATTTTCCTCGATCCAGAGACAGAGAGCTGTGGCACCCAGCAGTTGCCAGAGGAGCAGCAGCAGCTGCAGGGACCAAGAACCAATGCACAGGCAAGTGGGGTCTTCACAGCCCCCTGGAGCAAGTTGAGCTGGAGGCTCTCTTATGGAGTGGGGCGCCAGATTTGCTGACCCACGGAGCTGGAGCTGAGCACCGTACCCTCAGGGTCAGGCTTATCAAGGAGTGGTATGCCCTGTGGGCACTGACGGGCAGCACTAAAAGAGCTCAGTAATAGTGCACTAGTAGGGCAGAGGCCAAGGGGCCGTGTGCCTAAGGAGGCCAAGTCCCAGGGAGGTGTGTGCCTATGGACATGGCTAAGAAGGGGCTGTCTTGACTGGAAGAACTGTGTCCTAAGAGTTTCTGATCCTGAACTGTAACCTGGTAACTTCCCTGAGGGAGTCTATAATCATGAGTATGGCCTGGGAGTTCTGTGTGGCCAGTGCCATGAATTCGCAAACCAGCAGAGACACAGAGGGTGCCGCGGGAGGGTCCGTCGCCACCCTTCTGCAGGTGTCTCCAGGATGAAATGAGCTCAGGCAAGTCCAGCACTTGGCCCAGTACCTGCTCGGTTGTTACAGAGGTCGTGCAGCCAGGACAGATCCCTAATCACCTCTCTGTGACACAAACACACACAGGGAGGGCACAGACATCAAGGAAGGTCAAGGACTCTCGGGCCTCCCTGCGAGCCGTGCCCTGAATCTGGACTTGCAGCCAGCCTCTAGAACTGTGACAAAGCAGGCTTCTGTTTTTGAATGGAATCATGACGTCCCTAAGGCATGCTCCACATCAGGCCTGCAGACTCCTGGACGTGACCCAGGGGAGGGGCAAGCCAGCAAAACCCCACTGCTATTCAGTGACCCTAGGGGACAGAGGAGAGAGCGCTGCACCTGTGGGCTCCCGAGGCTGCCTTCTGCTGGGAAGCAGACTGTCACTACTTTCTCCCACGCGAGGCTGGTGGGTTTGAGCCACCAAATGACTGAGCTCGCCACGAGTGAGAGGCCTGGAGATGAAGTGGGGCTGTTTCGGGGGAGCGGGGCAGAGCAGTGTAGGACTCAGCTCTGTGCCTGCTCAGGGCCCGGCGCTGGGCACCTCAAACAGCCTCCTGGGGCGCTGGAGTGGGGGAAGGTGTCTGACTTGGGAAGGACAAAGAAGCAGAGGCAGGGGCTCACACCCGCCAGTGGGAAAAGACAATGGTAGAGTAGATCCGTAACCAGGGCGAATCAGTAGGCCAGGCACCACTCCAGGTGCTCCCCCAGGTCACAGTGTGGGGGCAGGGGCACAACTGTCACTTCAACAAGTGGAGACAGTGGCTGAAGCGCCGAGGGGTTCAGTGCCTTGTCCAAGCCACACAGATGGTGAGTGGTGTCTGCACAGGGACCTGGGTAGCGGGGAGCCAGGTGGCGTCCAGACCGGGGTGGGCTGGTGGATGAAGGCCCAAGGCCCAAGGCTTCTGTGCAGGAGGAAAGGCCCTGGGTAGGTGACCTGGCTCGGCCACCCCTGGCCCAGCACCAGGTGAGGTGAGGCTCTGAAGGACAAACAGCAGCTTCCCCGTCTCGGGCCCTTCCTGCTCCTAGAGCCCCACTCTCGGTTGCCTCAGCAGGGGTGGGCCAGGGGAGGCCTGTAGGTGGGGCTGAAGCACTGTGAGCCAGGGCAGCGTGGGGGCTGCGGCCAACCTTTCCCTGTCCAGCAGCCCCAAAGCCCCTGGCAGAACGGCAGGGATGGCAGCTGGTGCCCTTGGCTGGACCTACGGAAGCAGGGTTTGCCGGGGTCCAACGCAGCAGCGCAGCAAGGTGACCCCTTGGGCGGCAGCAAAGTGCCCAGTGGTCACAACCAGACTCAAGCCCACGGACGGCTGTGAGGGTAGTGTTGGCCTGTGTGCCTTTTCATTCTGTGGTCCACGGGCCGCCATGAGTTAGAGGGGCCGAAACAGCCACCAACAATAGCCAGCACGTCCGCTGTGGCCGGGCTACTGCACACAATGCTGGGTGTGGTGGTCCCTGTGCACTCGTAAGTGGCCTGGCGACCCGCCCAGGGGGAGATGGGCCCACTGGTTCGGAAGCTGGGAAATGACTGGCCCCAACTTGTCCCGCAATGTAACGGGCACTGGAGACGCCACAAGGCTGCTCAGAGCACATGCCAAGCACTGGGTGTGCCCTGATTTCCAACAGCATAGCCACCCCACTACTGGGCTGGACAGGCCAAGTGGCTCCGCCAAGGTCCCAAGAGCTTCCTGGGCCTGAGGCTGAGAAACTGACCGGTGACACTCTGTGATGACTGCATTTCTTTCCTCCTCTTCTCCGAGGCCTGGAGCCCCCGCTGACCACAGGAAGGGAGGAAGTGGGGTGGGCACCAGGTAAACCCCTCCAGGATAACGTGGCCTTCCTTGAAGGAGGCAGGGAGAGGGCAGTAGGCAGGGCTGAAGTAAGGGATTCCTCTCCCCTGATCCTGTCCCAGTAAGCCCTCTAGCTCAACCTGCCCCTCACGCTTCACCCTCACACAATTTCCCCATGACGCTCTCAGCCTGGTGCCACCTTCCTCAGCTGAAAACTGCCCTGTTCAACACGAGTCCACCAGCCACTGCGGCCACCCTGAAACTTGACGTGTGTACGTGGACTCTTCAGCAGGACCAGCCACATTTCAAGGGCTCGGCAGTCACACTGGGCAACCTAGGTCAAGAACCCTGAAGCTACGGCCACTTCACAACACTCAAAATAGAACAAGAAATCCTTTTCAGTCCTAGAAGAACATGTAGGAAAACAAAGTATGGAGAAGGAGGTAGGGACTCTTAAGATTAAAAAACAAGGAGTTTGAAAGCTGCAGACACACACACACACACACACACACACACACACACACACACACGAAAGGCAGGAGGTCAGGGCGCAGAGAGACTGAAGTCAGATGGGAAATAGATGTAATCTCCCAAGAGTGACCTTTCCCTAAACTGGCCCCAGCCCAGCTCAGCCCAGCTCATCTCCCACCTCCCTGGATCAGCCAATAAGCACCTGAGACTGAAATCAGCAGCAGAGAAGTGATTGCTTCAAAAAAACAAAAAAACCCAGAAGAGAACAGCCCACAGCAAGCGAGCACTCCACCCCACCCCAATGTACCGCACCATTTGTTTTCACCAGCTTCTGTAGTTGCCCTCCCAAGCACCCTGGCTCTTTACTTCCCCTTCCTCCTATTCTGCCTACCCAGAGCTTACAGGTTCCCCCTCCTGCCACTACACACAGGGGCTCAGACGCAACCCCACAAGATCCAGAGCGATTTATTTTCTCCCCATGGCCCTTGCCAGTCCTGGCCCGCCCAAGGTCACCTGTTCTCTCCTCTCCAAGGTCGGTGTCTGTCTCTTCCATGCACCCTTACTTTCCACAGCAGCCAACCTTCCTCTGGCACCTCTCACATGCCAGGCCCACTCTGTAGCCCCATGCATCGTTCAGTCTCCACAGCAACCCACGAAGCGGCCACCAGGTTAGCATCCCACTTTACAGGGGGTGTCAAGTGCGGTCCGGAGAGGTGCACTACCTTGCCCAAAGCCTCATGGCCAAAACGAGGCAGAGCAGGGCTATGAACCCAGGTGGCCTGGCTCCAGAAGGTGCTCTCTGACCGACTCCTCTCTTAGCTGTGGGATTTGGGTTCAAAGTGCTTCTAGATCCCTCTGCCTCTCACCTCTAAACTCGGGGGCTTTGTAAGGTAAAGCATGTACTTAGCGTCTAACATCATCACCACCACTACTCTCCCCCCACAAAGGGAATCTGGCCTTGTTGACATAGAATAAAGCTTTGCTCCAGTGTTTGTAAGTCATGTGGCAAGGTGCCCTGTCTCAAAACTGTCTTCCTTTCTCCTTGCCACTAACCCAACAAATATTTGCTGAACATATCCTCTGGGCAGTGACCACAAACCACACGTTTTGACATTCAGTCGGGAGAGAATCATTAAAAGGATCTTTACACCCCGAGTCCTTTTTTTATATGAGAACTGTAGCAAATGCAACAAAGGAATACGGGGGACAGGTGGACCAAAGGACCCTGGTGGTGCCGTGGCTAAGGCGCTTCGGCTGCGACCCAAAAAGCGGACTGCTCTCACCCACCAATGACCCTCACAGCAGGCGGTACCGCCCCCCTGGGGGTGGCGCTGGTAAGAGGTAGGAGGGGCTGCAACAGCAGCTAGCTTATACACTTTACCCTGGAGTACAGGCTCCTAATGGCCAGAGGTGACCAGAAACCCCCCCC